CTCCCTTCCCATGGCTATAGCCTCCTGGGTCCTAGAAGCCAGACCTCCATGGTGGAGGCCCTCATGCTCCGGGGCACCCAGGTAAGGAGAGCCACTGCTCACGCCCTGTGTTCCCGGGGCAGGTAGGGGTCGGGGCATGGGCTCTGCTTAGGAGGGACAGCCTGTGGAACCAGCTAGATGGAGCTGAGGCTTCCTTTTCCCTCCTGCAGATGCAGCGTCTTCTCTGAGTGTCTCAAATGCATCTGGCCTCTGGCCTGAGTTGCTGCAGCAAATGCCCTCAAGGCACAACCCCCCAAACCCTCAGGGAGACCTAGACTGCTGGCCTCGGGAGCTAGGCTCCCGGCTAGAGCAGCTCCAGGCCCAGATGAACAGGTGGGTGCCCAGCGGGCCTGTGCTGGGGTGGCTGCAAAGGACAGACCCAGCGGCGAGCTGGGCATGGGTGCCCCCTCCTGGTGGCTCAGGGGCATCACGCAGTGCCAGGTGGGTTTTAGAATGGAGGACCCATTTAGCTACAGGTCTCCCGTCCCTGTCACTAAGCACTATTTCTTGGATGGCTTCCCCTAGCAAACCCTAGAAGGTGTCGAGGAAGCCTTCTGGGGGAGGGGCACAACTATGAGCAGAAGCAAATTCCGTGGGCCCTGAGAAAGGGGACGTGGCCTGTGGGTGGCAGGGCTGTGGTGGTGGAGCGGAGGCTTTGGGGCAGAACAGTCCTGGCTTCAAATTCTGGCTCTGTAACTTACCAGCAAGAGTACGAGCTGGTTACTTAACCACTCTGGGCCTCAGTTTGCCCCTTTACGAATTGGAGATGATTAGAATACCCATGTCAAAGCATCTTGGGGACTGAATGTTGTGTGCTTGGTGCCCGGTCAGTGGTGTTAGCAGAGTCAGGGATGTAGTAGGGGGAATTGGGACAGGGGCTGTGGATCCTAGTGGGGCAAAAGCTTCAGGTAGGCCCCAGGCTGCCATTCCATTTGGCAGGAACAGCGTGCAGGCTCCAAAATTGAGAACTGCCCTCAGGACCTGAACTGCTCTCACCAGCCCTCAACCTGACCACAGGGTTTCTGTCTGGCAGGCTGGAGTCCCGCGTGTCCTCAGACCTCAGCCGCATCCTGAAGCTCCTTCAGCAGCCCATGCCCCAGGGCCACAACAGCTACATTATGGAAGCCCCTGCTGCCAATGACCTGGCCTTGTTTCCTATGGCCTCAGTGACTCAGAGTCCAGGGCCCAGGCTGCCCCAGGGCCATCTGCCCCCTGCACAGGTGAGAGGTGAGGGGATCCCCAGGGGCTTGCCTGGAGGCAGCTCCATGCCTTCTCCAACCCCCAACTTGGTCTCAGTGTGGCATCAGGCCCAAACCCTCTGTGGCCCCCCGAGGAGCTGTGGCTTCTGCTGTCTTCTTTTACAATTTGAATCATGACAGGGCAGCCTAGATGGGGTGGTGGCAGAGCCCAGATTGTGACCACAGACTCCACAGTTGGGGCAAGAGCAACAGGCCCCCAAGGTGCGGGAGGAGCAGGTACAGCTCTTGCCCATTCCCATCCCTGAAGTCAGGGTAGGTTAACCCACAGCCTGGCCTGAGGGTTTCCACACTCTGGCGCATCCCTCCTTCTTGTCCCTCCCAGAACCCAGGCTTGGGTTTGGACAAATATAGGCCGAAGCAGAAGAACTCCACCAAGATGCCTAACCTGGTCGTGGCAATGGACAAAACTCTGACACCATCCTTGGAACAGGAGCACCCTGAGGGGCTACTGTCATCCCTGGCCTCACCTCTGCATCCCCTGGAGGTACAGGCACCCATCTGTGGTCCCCGCTTCCCCTCCCTCCCTGAACACCTTGGCTGTGTTCCCAAGCAGCTGGAGTTCCAGAGACATAGCTCAGATCCAGGATTTGCAAGGAGTTAAGGCCACTGAACCTCAAGATAAAAGACATCATGAGGGGATTGAAGGTGGGTGAGGTGACAGTTAAGGGTCACAGGGGAGGCAGATAGCTCCCAAGATGGGCCTCTGAAAACCATTCTCCTAGAGTAGCTACAAACTGCTGACCCAGGTGACCCAGGCTGGCATGGGTGAAGAGGCTCAAGACTTTTCCCAGCCTCCTGGGGCTCTGTTTGGACAGCAAGCCTGGCGGAGGGTGACAGAGCCTCGGGTTGGAGGCAGCTTACAGGATGGAGGGGTCAATGAAGAAAGGAGAAGTCTCTGATCTACGTGAGAGCCTTGCTCTGGGCTGCGTGTGATCACCAAGCTCAGAACATCCACCTCCTCATGTCCCAGCACCAAGGCCCGGGGTTGGTCAGACCTCCTGCCAAGAGCCTCCGACCCAGCTGGAGATGGAGGTGTCCTCTGTGGTGGACATGTCGGATGTCAGGGCTGAGCTCCAGCCCTCAGCCCCTCCACCCCTGATGGTTCTGTGATGACATTTGGGTCCCTTGAGGGCAATGGAGTGTCATGCAACTAATAAAGTCTGCACATTTCATGTTGGGCCAGGTGTGTAACTTATCTCAGGGGCATCAGGTCCTTGACTGTGCTGTGGTCTTCTCCAAGCCCTTCTCACAAGGAGCTGGAGACTCACCCCCTACCATATCTAGTGTGTTGGGGACTTGAAGGCGGCTCCCCTGTGCTCAGAAGCCCCTGGAGCCTGGGACTGTTGGCCAGGCTGGGGTGAAGGGAAGCAGAGGCTCAGGCTTGGTGGCCACAGGAAATTGTGACAACAGCCAGCATTTCCATAGCATTGTGCTATGGGCATCATGCTGACTGCTCTGCAGATATTAGTTCATCTAATCCTGCAAACAGTCCCTGGGGTCAGCATTATTATCTCCGTTTTAGAGACATGGGATTGGAAGCAGGGAGAGACTAGGAGCATGAGCAGGGCTTCTGGGGTGCTGGCACTGTTCTGTTTCCTGATCTAGGTGTTGGTTACATGAGTGTGTTCAAGTTCTGAAAATGTGCACTTCTATGTGTAAATTATACTTCAATTAAGAAGTTGCCTCAGCCCAGGAGTTTGAGGTTGCTGTGAGCTAGGCTGATGCCACAGCACTCTAGCCTGGGCAACAGAGACCCTGTCTCAAAAAAAAAAAAAAAGAAAAGAAAATGTATATCCCCCTCATATATTTTTTTAAGTTGACATCTGAAATATTGCATTGATAAACTGAAATAGTTGCAAAGGATGTAATGTCAAGTGTGTTGTAAATATTGACGCTTTATAAAACTATTTCATCCTTCACTTGAATTAACCCATTTCTAGCCCAGTAACAGTGATTTGAGAAGCCACCATCATCCATTTTAAAAACACACAAAGCCCTTTCTTTAATATTGTTCCCTTTTCTCTTCTGATAATTACCATCTATTCCCTCCATAGTTTTATCCTACATGTAATTTATTTTTATGCTTCAGAGTCTATCATTGATCACCCTATCATATGCTTACAATGAAAATGTGTATATAAATTGAAATTTTATTTTTATTTTTTTAGAGACAGAGTGCTGCCCAGGCTGGAGTGCAGTGGCACAATCATAGCTCGCTGCAGCCTTGAACTCCTGGGCTAAGGCAATCCTCCGGCCTCAGCCTCCCAAGTAGCTAGGACTACAGGTGTGTGCCACCATGCCCGGCTAATTTTTAAAATTTTTTGCAGGGATGGGGTCTCATTATGTTGCCCAGATTGGGCTCAAACTCCTGGCCTCAAGTGATTCTTGGTCCTTGGCTTCCTAAAATGCCGAAACACAGGCGTGGGCCACCATGCCCGGCCTAAATTGAAATTTTCTGGGTAATTTTTTGTAAACTTAATAAGGCTTTAAGCATTACACTTATTAGTACAGTTGTTTAAAACGACATAAATATATATTCAAATTTTTACAAAAACTAAAATTTTACTGGAAATACATCTTATAAAAGGGGATTTTCCTTTCAATTAGTTCCTATGTCTGTGGATGAATATCATTATTTTTTATTAGAATAAGACAAGATTTAGCAAGTTTGCTCCTATTTTTCATTCCTTGTTAAAAAGCAAGTGCAGAGGAAACTTGTTCACCTAAGTGGATAGGACTAATAGGTGGTTGTTTTATATATAGCATTGTCTGTCAATTCTTTGAATTCTGAGTTGTCTGTTAAAATCACATTTATCATTAAAAATTATATATAGTGTTATCATCCAATGCAATACAAACTTCCTTCAATTTTGATGAAAGCAAAGAATTGGAAACCACTTTATTTAAAGATGCTACCTGGACTCAGATCCTTCTCCATTTCAAACTCTCGGGCACAGATAAAATTTAAGGCTGGATTAGCATTTGCCTTAGGATCGCAGCGAGGAAAGGACGGGATGGGAACGACAAAAACTTAAAGCCAAGAGGTTCCTGTCGGAGCCTACTGAAGACCAATTTTAGAATTAGGGAACATTTCTAGAATCTGCAGGAAAGCGCGGAACGGCCTCACTTGAGCTGGCCTGGCCCTGAGCACATCTGTGCGTTCGAAGCCTGTCCTGGGGGCACTGGGAGAACCAGTTAAAGGGGGCCTTAGGACGCGTGGGGCTGGAAGACAGTTCCCGTTTGGCGCAAGCCAGGAGGCGAGGCCGCGGGGCTCAGTGCCCCGAAATGCAGTAGGTCTTCCATTAAGGCAGAATTTAAATTTTAGTCAACAGCGTGGAGAGGCAGCTGGGAAGTCAAAGCAGGTGACACGGACGGTTTCACTCTCAGAGACTTGGCCCAGAACTTGGAGTGCTGATGCCTCGCACACTCCCCTCTCGGCCACCCACGCCCCCATTCACCCACACTGTGCCGTTATCTGTCTGACTGACATCTTGGCCAGCCAATGACCTTTAGGGTTGAGAAAGCGCCTGCCCCCCACCCGGAGTTGGGCGGGGCAAGTAGTCGGAATGACAAACATCTACACCAATAGCGAGGAGATTTCAGACGCTACGGCCACAAAAACCAATGACGAGAAAGAACCGTTTCGAAAGGACGTGCCAGGCAGCCAACGGCCGGTGCCGCTGCGGTGGTTGCGTGGCTTCCGTTCCGAGAGGGCGGGGTGCATCTCAAACGGAAGGTGGTGGTTGTTGGTGCCGAAGCTGGTTTGAAACTGGGGGTCGGGCCTGGCCGTCGTTGTTTGTTGCTGCAGCCCCGCTTCCGGGCTAGGCCGTTCCAGCCCGCCCCCTCCCCGCCTCCCTTCGGACCCCTGAGTTCCAGGCCCGGCTCCTCGCCTGAGTCGCGCCCCTCCCGCCTCAGCCCGTTGTGGACTCGGCCCGCACTGCGGCCCCGCCGCCACCATGTCCCTGCACGGCAAACGGAAGGAGATCTACAAGTATGAAGCGCCCTGGACCGTCTACGCCATGAACTGGAGTGTGCGGCCCGACAAGCGCTTTCGCTTGGCTCTGGGCAGCTTCGTGGAGGAGTACAACAACAAGGTGAGCCGGGCAGGGACTCGGAACCCAACTGGCGGGGAGCGGGCCCCGAGAGCGCCCTTTCTGGGCCGGAGCCTAGACCTCAGAACCCTCCTGCGGACTTGCCTTAGAGCTACGGAGCGGTTCCTCTGTCTGGCACTGTGCTTAGGGTTTCGCACTTGTCTCATTTAATCTTGGCAGCATTCCTGTGTAGTTGAGAGTGTAATGGGGAAACCGAGCCACGGTTTTGTGACTTGCCTGGGTTAGACAGCTGTTGCGTGGTGGAAACAGGTTTTAAAACCTGTTTACACCGCAGAGCTACGCCATTTATTCCTCCCGTTCCCTCCACTCCTGCCGCATTGCTTCATTTGGGGGGCGGGGGAGGGAAGAGGGAGTGATGGCTGTGGAGGAAAATGCAGGCTCTTGAATTGGTGGTCGTGTACTCCTGGTCACACTAGTTTTCTGCTAGCGCCGTTTATTGCACAGGCTTCCCCGCCCCCTGCTCCCATTCCAGGGTACTACTCCTGGATCCCCAGCCCTTCTGCCAGGATTGCCATTGCTATTGCTTGCAGATACACATCCTCTGCAAATCAGTCTCTTTGGAAATCTTGGCCTGCGGCTTGATCCCGCCATTGTTTCCAGAATAGAGAAAGATGACACTTGGCCTTATCTTCTTGGCTTCTTTCATGCTGTCTTTAACCTTTAGTAGTAAGTCTTGCTGGACATTCATCAGTTTGAGAATTCTTCATAGAAGCACTGGTAGTAGAGGAAAGCTTTGAAGTTGGCATTGCAGTGTAAATTTATTTTTGAAAGTTGTTGAATAAGTCAGTGGCAAGAATTTTCTTTCCTTTATCCCTTAATGTCTTCCTTTTATTCATTTGGAGTAAAAGTTGTGAATGATGGTGATCAGTGCAGCTGAAAGGTTTGGCTAGTGGTATTTAAAGCCGGTGCTCCTGCTTAATGCCATGAGCATCAGATTTAAGAAGAATAAAACTGTGTTCAGTGACAGGCCTGGTGCAGGGGGAAAAAGCCAGGTGGTCTAAGGTTGGGTCCTTTCTGGTCTGTTGACTAGCTGTGAGGTGTTGCACAGGCCAGTTTTGTTATTTCTGACCCGCAGTTTGCAGTAGAAACATGTGAAGGTTAAAAAAAAAAATCCACAACATTTGAACATTTTAAGTTTGTTTACAGTTTTTGAGGAGCACATCTGTTTCTCTAGACTAGGTCTTAATTCTTGGGAGTCCCCTTTGAGAAACTGATGAAAGCCATAGACTTTCATTGCCCAGACATTACACATACACAAACAATTTACAAACAAATCCCTGGGAATATGCGCTGATCTTTATGTCCACCCATTGCCGGGCCAAGACATAGCTTTATTTCCTTTTCTCTATTGCCTCTTTCTTCCTTATAGCCCATAGTGGACAGCAGAACTGGCAGTGGAATTCAAGGTCCTGATGTGGACACCGTGTTAGTAAATTAAGACCATTAGAACTATTGTTTAAGGACACATGTGAAAAATTAAAAAAAAAATAAAATATGTCTTTCTAAGGGCTTGAGTCTTTTCATGAAAATTGATGGTTTTTTTCTTGCAAATTTTTCCAGGGTCGTTGGGTAAAACAGCAGTAGTCCCATTTCTCAGAGAGGAGAAACTGCCACAGTTAGGTTGCTGGTAGAATATCAGTGGAGTATTGGTGTCAATCCTCTGTTGCAGGAAATCTATCCCAAAGTTTGTCCTGTCATTTAGCAACTATATGGAGCTCCTTCTTTGTGCCAGGCACACAGGTAGTGTGGCCTTAGTAGTGAAATGCAAACTAGTAATCCCAGTATTAACAGAATAGCAGTTAACTATATCTTAACTCACATGATGTAGGCAATGCAGTGTCTTAAAACTACTTTTGTGCCTCCACCTATCTGTAAGTCAGGGACTTTAAATTCTGTGTGTGTATGTGCCATAGACACCTTTGATAATCTGATGCCAGTAGACCCCTTATCATAATTATGTTTTCAAATGTATAAAATACATAGGATTATAAAGGAACCAATTACATTGAACTATAGCTATCAAAACTTTTTTTTTTAAAGTGGTAATATAGGCCAGGCCTTGTGGCATGTGCTTGTAGTCCCAGCTACTTGGGAGGCTGAGGGAGGAGGATCACTTGAGCCCCAAAGTTTGAGGTTGCAGTGAGCTCTGATGATGCCACTGCACTCTAGCTTGCACAGAACGAGACCCTGTCTCAAAAAAAAAGTGGTGATACGATAATATGTACTTTAAGATTAACTCATTAAATTACACTATCTGGTGTAGTTATTACCATAATTTTGAAGTAGTAATGAGGGTAAGCAGCATCTCAAGATGTTTAGCAACTGCAATACGATATGAAAAAAGTTAGTGATTTCTATTGATAACAAAGTCACAGACAATCATGCTGCTGTGGATAGCTGCCCCATGTGTAATTGAAGGAAACAGTAAATTTTAGATAGAGGTCAGTGGAAATACGAATGTAATTTGCCAATTCAGGAAAGTTTATGGACTCAAGAAACCCTGCTGTAGAGGATGTGTGCCTAGGGGCTGGTGGGCAGTAGTTCTCAGGCTAAGTTTTGGAGAAATCCTGCCATGGAAGTGGCAGACTTCATAATTTAGGGGAATTTCAGAATTATTCGTTGGAATTTTCAGACCTCTGGTTCTTGCTTGCTGTGGATAGTGATTGCCAGCAGAGGACAAGGTAAATTAATTCAAATTCACATTGATGAAATGGTCATCTTTTTTAGTGTGGAGATATCGACTAAGAAAACATGATTATATTATATTTTTAAACTTTATATTAATGTAATCATGTTTTCCTATCATAAAATTGTTCCTTGTTGGTCCGTGAAATTAAATCTGTTAACATTTCAAGACCTTGACTTCCAGATGTTCCATCATGTGAATAAATTTGGGAATTGTTGCAGAGTAAAGAAATCAGTTTCTATTAGCTACACCTGGAATAAAAAGCCCCTTTATTGGTTGTTGTGTTTTACATTATTTTTTTGTGGTCTCTGCAGGGGGGATACAGCAGGACTGGTGTTGGAGCAGTGGTTCTCTAACTTTTAGTGTGTGAGAATCCCTGGGGGACTTTCACATTCCTGGGCTCCATCTCTGAACTTAACAGACACTGGTGATTGAGACATGGGTGGTCCAGATGGCACTCTAAATACATCACCCTGGAGTTACCTTGGCATCAACTGACCAGAGGCAGGAATGCAATATTTCTGCATCTGCATGCTCCTAAACATTGGTTCTGCCCTTCTATCCAAGTTCACTCATGAAAAAGCTCTTTTAGCCGATAGCCTCTTTGAGATTGCCTGCATTGAGATCTTAGTCCTGCCACTTCTCAGTTTTGTGTGGCCTTGGACAAGTTATCCCTTGTGCCTCAGTTTCCTCATCTGTAAAATGGGAATAATAAGTAATAAGTGCACTTACCTTATCAGGTTGTTTTAGATTAAATGAATTAATGTATGTAATGGACTTAGGAACTCCGGCTGGCATGGAGTAAGCCGTATAGAAATGTTAGCTATTATTTAATCACTATCATTACTGTACCCGTAATTAAATATAATCAAGGAGAATTATGGGTGTTGGGTAAATTTGACTTTTGTATTTTCCAGAGAGGAATCAGGACTTTTGGCCAGAAAGGTAACTTAAAAGGTCATTATATTCATTCCCTGCCATTTAAAGACCCAGGGGGGAAAATGCCCTGATCCCTTTCAACCCAACCCATTTTGTGGTCTAGCAGCTTCTTGTAATCCGACTCCAAGTAGTGTAATGTGCTAGTTTAAACCCATTTTCTCTTGTTCTACCTGGCTTACCCACAGTAACTCAGATATAGGAGTTTGGCATTTCTCCTGAGTTGACAGTATCTGTGGTTTTAGGCAGATAGTATTTATTTCCCTTCTTTACTTGGGAGAAGATAGGGAGCAGGTCCTGGGTTTCTATTCCACTTAGGTGCATGTTTTGCAGTTGGTTTTGAATAAAGTAGGCAGGATGATTGGGATTTATTTTGCCCTAATATTTAACTAACCGACTCCTTGTGCTCTAAGATTTAGCATCTAGAGAGCATTTTTGAGGTTCTGAGGAGAGAGACTGTAGGTATATCTCATCCTTTTTGAAGAATCCTAGTGGTGTGTCTGGGTACCTTGTACTTGAAATACACATGAGATGAATGCTTGCTTTGTCAGCCTGTGTTGATTCCTCTGCTATTTTTAATGCAGTTACTTTATATATTTGGTACATAATTATTTTGACTCTGGCATATAATTTTTCATTTCTCAGTATTTGTGGTAGCCCTTCAGGATTGTCATTCGTTTGCTCATTAATTCAGCAAATATATATTGAACACATATTAATACATGCGTCTTAGGCACAGTGATGACACTTGAAAACCTTCTGTAGCCTTTTTTAGCAGTTGTAATATTGGCAGCAATAAAGAAAACATGTTTTATTACACATCAGTATTTTTGATATTTAGAATATTGTATTGTTGCACTAGTCCCTGGCAAGACTGTCAGCAGGGGAATTTAAGACATAAACTCTTCTGCTTTTAACTTCCTCCTTTTTCCCAACAGTGAGAAAACTAATTCCCCCTTGGGGCCACTGGATAAAAGTGCTGCTGTGTTATCGCTTTTTGCCCTAACCTTATTCAGACAGACTTATTGGAGATGTTGTGATTTTAACAAAGAATGACTTTATGCTCTGCAGGTGGTCTGATCACCTGAGGCCTTGCTGCCAGAGGTCTCTGATTGGCCTCTGAGCCAGGAGCCAAAGGGGTGCTGTGCCACAATTCATCTTAAAGTTTGACAGGCAAGACGTCAGGTATCTGTAGGCACTGGTCCACAGTAATGGGTCAGGAAGAGGCTGGAAGGGAGGACAAGTGGAAAAGACCAGAAAAAAGCTGCTTTATACTCTCAGAATGTTGCATTAGCTGATTTTAAATATATTACCAATTGTGGGAAAATGTTCCAAGGACTGGAGTGTTACATTGATTTAG